CTCGAATCTAGCCAAAAATAATTCGATACAATCACTAAAAATTATAGGAATCAATTCTATAAGAAAATACTACATTTTTAATAAAAATTCTGAAATTAATTAAAATTTTGTTTGTGGGACCCACGTCTCGGAATCCGGCGAAAGTTACGAAATATGAACACCCACTCAACCACGAGTCTACCCATACTAAAATCACTAAATTCCGATAACAATTCGGCCCTCAAATCTATCCAAGAGGATTTTCAAATTTTTCCAACTCAATTCACTAATTGAATGATAAAAATAGTGATGGATTCGGGTAATTTAACCAATATTGAGTTAAGAATACTTAACCCGTTGTTTTCTCTGAAAATCACCCAAAAATCGCCTAAATTCGAGCTCCAAATCGTTAAAAGTGGAAAATGGGACGAAGTTCCATTTTCAGAACTTAAACTCTCTGCCCAGTGATTTCTTCTACGCGATCGCGAACTTCCTCACGCGATCGCGTAGCACAAATTTTACTGTCCAAACATTAACCCGACGCGATCACGGAAAACCCCACGTGATCACGAAGCACAGTCTCCGCAAGCCTACGCAATCGCGAGCCTCCTCACGCGATCGCAAAGCATTAAGCGCGTGGTTAGCTTCTGCTTCGTTTCCTCTTCGCGAACGCAGCCTTAGCCACACGTTCGCATAGCACAACTGAATCCAACCTACACGATCACGGACTTGCCCACGCGATCGCATAGAATAAATTCTCAGCGACCAAATTAAGCCTACACGATCGCAACCCAATCCACGCGATCGCGTATAAGGAAATCAGAAGAAAATTTCCAGCAGCTATCACCAATGTTCCAAAAGCCAAAAATGATCTGTTAGCCGTCCGAAACTCACTCGAGCCCCTCGGGACCTCAACCAATTATACCAACAAGTCCTAAAATATCATACGAACTTAGTTGAACCTTCAAATCACACCAAACAATGCTAAAATCACGAATCATCCCTCAATTCAAGCTTAATGAAACTTAAGATTTCCAACTTCTACATTATGTACCAAAACCTATCAATTCAAGTCCGATTGACCTCAAATTTTGCACACAAGTCATAAATGACATAACGGAGCTATAAAAATTTTCAGAACTGGATTCCGACTCCGATATCAAAAAGTCAACTCCCCAGTCAAACTTTCAAACTTAAATTTCCATTTTAGCCATTTCAAGCCTAATTTAACTACGGACTTTCAAATAAAATTCTGAATACGCTCCTAAGTCCAAAATCACCATACAGAACTGTTGGAATCGTCAAAATTTTATTCCGGGATCATTTTCTCAAAATGTTGACCGAAGTCAAACTTAGCACTTTAAGGCCAACTTAAGGAACCAAGTGTTCCGATTTCAACCCAAACACTTCCAAATCCCGAACCAACCATCCCTGCAAGTCATAAATCATTAAAAGCACATACGAAAAGTTTTATTTTAGAAAATGGGGTGCTAAAGGTTAAAATAACTGGTTGGGTCATTACATGATGGGTCCATCCCATAATTTAAGGAAATGTCTTTATTCATTTGATAAAGACTTCTAAGTCTTTTTCTAAATTGACGCAACATTTTTTTTTTGAATTTCTCAAATTGAAGAGTTTGAAAATTTCTTTCATTCTTTTGATGTCACCGATGACATCTATAGGGCGTATAGAATCTCTATAAATAGATAGCTTCTAAGTCATTTGTAACATACCAACAAAGAGAGAGAAAAAGAGTAAGGCATCATAGACAGGGTATAAGAAAATAGTCTGTGAGAAAAAATAGAGAGAGTGATATTATAGTGAGGTTGGAATATCAAAAGAGGGTTATTTTTTTGAGTGTTGTAGTGGTCTTTGGAGTATTTTACCCGGACCTACAAAGTGTAAAATTCTTTGCTATAGTGATATTAGTTGCTCCCCTCGGGGCCGTAGTTTTTTTCCCTTATTCAAAAGGGTTTCCACGTAAAAATCTTGGTGTCATTGTAACTCTTTTTAATTACCGTATTTCGGTGCTACGATATTATTCTGATTTTATTACCGTGAATATTATTTCTGCGGGGTTTTATTCCCAACACATCAATCTCTAAACCAAGACTTATTATTAATTCACAAATGCATATTGCAATCATCCAATTTATCGAAATTATTAATCCATAATGAACTTCTCCCGTAATATAGAAAAACCCTAAATAATACACAAAATTCATAATAATTATATCCAAAGTAAGAATATAAGTATGTTGAATTACAAGAAAATTTATTTTATATAATTAGTATAAAAAATATGTATCCTTACTTGGTCCAGTTCAATCATCCACGATGTACTAGCACAAGAAGTTGGAATAAGGTCATTCCCTTTATCAAGATAAATTATAGTATTTAATCTTGTGCTACAATCATACCAATGAAGTGCCCGCCTTCACCATTTAAATTTTCGTATATAAGCTATATTTTTAAAATTAAATCATCTAATATATAAGTAAGAGGGCATCCATGATAAAGTAAATAATGATCTATTTAATGCAATACTTTATTAGATTGAAAAAAAATCAATTGTTCCATAATAACAAAAATTTATATATAAATTGCATGATTAATCCCATAATTTTAGTTTATATGAACTTTTTCGTTTTTCTAGAGTCAATTTGACTAATCTTTAGATTAAATTAACTCAATATTTTAAAGCAAAATTCAAATATTAAAAAATTATATACAAAGCATTATAAGTTGAGGTTCTTCTCATGTCAATATGATGAAAAATTACATTTTAAAAAGTTTGTCAAAGTTTATATAGTTTAAATATCCAAAAGCGAAAAAGTTTATATAAACTGAAAGGAAGGAATTAAGAGCAGTACATATATCCTAACGCTATATTGAATCTTAATTTGATAACAGATAATCTTAGATAATATTTATCATGATTAAAGTTAGTCACCCATCGATAGTTTAGAGCCTGTTTGGCCAAGCTTTTGAGAGGTTAAAAGTATTCCCCCAAAAAAAGTATTTTTTAAAATATTTAAGTTGTTCGGCCAAGACGGAAAAGTACTTTTGGCCAGCAGCAGAATCAATTTTTCTGTTTTTGGAAATAAGCAGAAAAATCTAGCTTCTTCCAAGAAGCATAAGCAGAAAATTAATTTATTCAAGACAAAACTATCCTCACCATAAATTTAAATTTTCCAAATTATCCCTTACTAATTTAAGGTTTTTCTTTTCTTTTTTATTTCTAGTTTCTACCATTCTTTTAAAACTAGAGATATCATACATATGAATATATTGTAACTTTCCAAATTCTTTTTTGATTTTTCTTGTTTTTGATTTTTTCTTTGTGTAATGTCTTGTAACTTTCCAAATTCTTTTTTGATTTTTCTTGTTTTTGATTTTTTCTTTGTGTAATGTCTTGTAACTTTCCAAATTATCTTCTTCTTTTTTCATAATAAAGCAAATTATCTATATCCTTTTTTGGATTATCAATTCTCTTCCTACAAATAATCATTTAATTTATTCTATTATAAGCTATTAATTCCCGAATCTTTAAAACAATTATCAAATCTAATTTGTGAAAATTACCTATAAATAGGTAATAAATTTACAATTGCATCGCATAATCTATATATTACTAAAAAAAAAAAAAGAAAAAGCCTCCACATTAAGCCAAGTGATAGACTCACAATAAGTCACTTGGCAATTTAGGTGAAAGTTAGTTAGGTTAGGTAATAATTAGTTTTTTTTTTAAATTTAAATTTTAAAAAAAATTAAATTATCCATTACGTGTTGTTAATAATCAGTTAATCTTTTTGAATTTGAATTTAAACATACTTAATTATTTTTCTTTTGCAAAAACAATTTTTTTTTACATTTAAAATTATTTTCATTTTACTCTCAATGCCATTTTTCAAGTTTGACACTTAGAATCATCTTGTTACAACTACCATTGCTATACATAATTTTCTCCGATGACATTCTTCTACTGGTAAGGAATTCAACTATTATGCTAATGGAGACATTACTGGAGAGATTGAGGAAGGAGATGAGCCTTCTGGTATTCCTTTAGAAATGCAAGGCAAGTCTTCTACTAATATGAAGGCATTGTGTGATAGAATTAGAGATGAAATTATTGAAAAATATTATCATACGTGAGTGACTTTGCTTATTATTTCATAGTGGATTATCAATACATAGTAATTAGTGGAATAGACTTCTAATTCATACTGAATGATGACAATAAGTAATTATACTAGATAATATTATATGCTTTCTATAACTATATATCTTATATTGATATAAATCTTTCATATATATGTTTACTTTATATTTTATATTTTAATGAAATAAAATAAAAAAACAATAAAAGTCTTCCGTATATTTTTCTCTTTAAAATAATTATAAGACCTTGGTACTATACGTTTTGGTAATTTGACACTCAAAAACACTTTTTAAAAAGATTGGTCAAACACAATTTGTTTATCAAATATTGTAAAAGTACTTCTTAAATGAATTGGCCAAATACAAACTATATTTTTTTTCAAAAATACTTTTGGAAAAAATATTTCTAAAAAAAATACTTTTCAAAATAAGCAGTTTTTGTCTGCTCGGCTAAACGAGCTCTTAATCTTTACACTATGGGAGGCCAATTGAGATCCTAATAGTCAAAAGCACTTGAACTGATGGACTAGTACTACCTTCTTAATATTCCAGTGGGATACTGCATACAGTCATAAACGGATTTGTTTTTTTCCTACACTTTAAAATTTAGTGACTTTTTTTTTTAAAAGAAATTAATTTCCTGCCGTATAAATTTGGTGACTTAGAATTTATGGTTAGATATTTTTTTTCCCATTAAATTACGTAACATTTTAGTTTTTTAAATGAAATTTAATACTCCTACGACCACTCTAGAACTGTGTAACGTCGGCGTGATAGAAAAGAATGGGAATGCTCATTTTAGGAATCTAAGATAGTATTAATGCGTCCATTCAGGTTATCTTTGACGATCTATATTCTACATCTTTCACATTATTGTATAGTTCCATCACACAAACAAAGAGAGTACGGAGCAGTAGCAATTGATCATAGTGAGCCATGGCTTACATTCCACCGCACAAGAGACAAACAAAGGGTTCGCCGTCGCCGAAGCCAACTCCGGCGCCGGAATCTTTGGTACCTTCTTTAAGAAAAAACCTGAATACTAAGTCGTTTGGGGAACAAACGAGAAAGCAAAAATATTTGGGCGGGAAAAACATCGTTTACGCTAATGATGCAGTTTCGATATGGTTCGCCGTTGGATTAGCTGATAATTCTCAGTTTTCGTCCCTTGTGAGGCTCCAACCTGTTCCAGCGGAATCCTTTGAGCGCAAATCAGGCCAAAATCCACACTCTTTGGTTCTAATCGAAGGTACTGCTATCTACTTAAATGTGCTTCGTTATGTGTTATTGTAGCTTTAGTGATGGTACCTAGATACAGTGTAGGAGGCAATATTTTTGCTAAGGGGTTTCAAAATATCATACTTTTAGGCTTTAGCGTTAGGGTGGTTTATTATTGAACTTAATTTGCTTTGGGGTCTTCAAGTAGCTATTACTGGCTTAATACAATTTAAAGGCTTTTACACACCAAGTATGTAAAGTTTCTTTTTGTTGGCAAATGAGGTGTCCTGATATTTCTTCAGTTCACCTTGTCTAATACTAGGTCCTTAGCTTCTAGATTGATTGTGTTGCTTGCCAGGTTGAATAATTGCTTAGTGATTTAGTACCAGGGATGATGTTCTTAAGGAAATAGGAAGCACTGGTCGCATTTCAGGTTTCCAAGTAGTAAAAGCTATACATATCACCAAAAAAACTAGAGTCATGATTTGCTTTTTGGCTACTGCATGAATCTGCCTTTCGCCTTCATCTTCTCATCAGGACTCCTGCACCTTTTTTTCTGAAAGAACACCACTTATTCTTTCTGTGAGTCCAGTGATTTAGATGCTTCAATTCTTTGCATTTTTCAGGATGAGCAGATTAATGGAATTAAAGATCTTGTTGGTTCTGCCATTTTGGACCCAGAAGTTAAGGGTGGCTTGAGATGGCCTTTTGGCAAGGATTCTTCAGGGTGTCGATATGCTGTTTTAGGTGTCCATCACACAATTGCAAAATCATATAGAAATCAGTCGATTAGGTTTAAGCTTCGACATGCAGATCGATTTGATTTCAGATCTTCAACTGGTGAGGCTGCACGGGAGATTTTCCTTAATATGCCTGGAATCATATCCCAGTTGCGAGTAGGTTCTCCTTTCCTGACAAGCAATTATGTATCTCTTTTTATTTTATGTTTTCTATTTTTGGATACATCAATATTGGTATGGGTTACTCGTAACCATACCATAGTGTTCTTAGCTTAAACCTTGACAATTGTATCCTGCTCCCACTTTACTGATTTATCCACCGAATTGGGAACAATTTCATCCAATAAGCTGGACAACACAAACTAACCACTGATTCGAATTATCTGTTTTGCTTCTTGTTGGATTGAATTCATCCAAATCTTGTGTATTTCCAAAGAATATTTACAGTAGGTCATGTTAATATATGGTATCAACTTGATGTACAAACAACATCATGCTGTGCCTCTTCATTGTTTTAGTTCTTGAGCCTTTCTGTTTTATTTTCTGAATTGCTGCCAAAACTGTAGAAGCAAACAGTCGAAGAAAACGTGGTGTTTAAAATGTTAGAAGAGAAGTTGAAGTTGATCTGGAATCACTGCTTTTTAGACGGTTCTTCGAGCTGACCATGCACAGTGGCCCTTTGTTAACTAATTTGTTAACTGCACTTGAATTCGGGAATATAATTCGAGAATTCAACAGCTGCACATAAGATCTACAGAGGATACTCGAGTGTTCCAACCCAGAAATGGAGGAGAAGAAGATTGGAAGAAGAAGTAGAATTAGGAAATTGTAATACTTTCTTATTGATTGTAATAAACTCAGTACAATTATTTATATAATGAAAATGACAGCTCAATTTGTTGAATCCAGCTAACTACTCTAACTAACTTGACACTGTGCTAACTGTTTTTTGAACTAACTCTAACGACCTCTGCTGACGTGGCTTCAATTGTATGCGTATCAATACTCCCATCAGCAAAAGATCCTTGACCTCAAGGATCAAAATGAGGAAACCTTGTCTTGAGAACATTGAAGTACTCCCATGTGGCATGATTTGCTGACAGTCCAGACCATTTAACTAGTACTTGGCCAACAACTTTATTTTCCGTCTTCACCATACGTCTTTGTAAAATAGCTTCAGGATTAGGACAATGGGGGTTAGCAATATCAATAGTAGGAGGATATGCAATTTGATCAGGGACTGCATGGCACTTCTTTAAGAGTGATACATGGACTGTAGGATGAATCTTTATTGATGGTGGAAATAGCAATGTATAGGCAACATGTCCAACTCGCTTGAGTATCTGAAATGGACCATAATATTTGGCAGCTAATTTGTGGAATGATTGAGAAGATAAGGTAGATTGTTTATAGGGCTGTATCTTAAGGTATACCCAGTCTCCTACTGAAAAGCTCCTGTCAGTCCTATGTGAGTCAGCTTGTTGTTTCATCCTCAATTGAGCCCTATGCAAGTGGTGTTTAAGTAGTTGCAATTTCAACTCCCTTTGCATTGAGGTGTTGTCGACCTCTGTTGAAGCAGACTCACCAGGTAGATATGGCAAATGTAATGGGGGAGGTTGACCTTATAGAGCCTCATAACGGGTGGTGTGAATAGCAGAGTGATAAGAAGTGTTGTACCAATATTCAGCCATAGCTAAACATGAATACCAATCAGTGGAGTCTTCATTGCAGAAACACCTTAAGTATGTCTCCAAACATCTGTTTAAGACTTCAGTCTGGCCATCTGACTGAGGGTGGTATGTTGTAGAAGTATTCAACTGAACTCCTTGTAGTGAGAAGAGTTCCTTCCAAAAGGAGCTTAATAAAACAGCATCCTTGTCACTGGTTATAGTCTCAGGTAATCCATGTAGCCTGACAACCACATCAAAAAAGACCTTGGCTACTGACTGTGCAGTGTAGGGTGTTTTAAAGGCATAAAATGAGCATATTTGCGCAGTCTGTCAACAACCACTAAGATGACTTCATGGCCCTTAGACTTAGGTAAGCCATCAATAAAATCCATGCTTATTTGGGACCATACCACCTCAGGTATAGGTAAGGGCCGTAGAAGGCCAGGATAAGCTGCCAAATCTGCCTTATTCTTCTAGCAAATATCACATCTTTGTATGAAGTTCTTCACATCAGTTCTTATCCCCTTCTAATAGAATAGAGTGAGCAGTTGTTTGAGGGTGGCCTCTACACCAGAATGGCCACCTTGTAGAGAGGAGTTCCATAGTTTAATTATGTTAGTCCTTAGGTTCTGCACCTTCCCTACCACAAATCTACCTTTCCTCCTCAATTGAATATGATTTCAAGTAAATTGTGAGGGTGTGGTGGGTTTGGATTTCAGCTGCTCAGTAAGGATCTTCAACTTATAATCAGAAGACTAGTTGTCCACCATAGCTTGAAGTAAATCTGAGTCAGTAATGGATACGACTAAAGCCAATAATTCAGCTCCTGACACTCTTGACAATGCATCTGCCACTTTATTTTTTACTCCCTTCTTGTATTCAATCACATAATCAAAGGGCATCAATTTGGTCAGCCACATTAGTTGTGAATTGGTGTGTAACTTCTGTTCCATAAGGTACTTCAAAGCTTCAATCTGTCCTTATAATGAACTGTTGTCCCAGTAAATATTGGGACCATTTAGTGACTCATGGACTAAGGCAAGTAACTCTCTGTCATAGACTGAAAGTGCAGCATGCCTAGGAGATAAGGCCTTGCTGATGAAAGCTATTAGGTGACCCTGCTGCATCAAAACAGCACCAATACCATATCCACTAGCATCAGTCTCTACTACAAATGTTTTGGTGGGGTCAGGTAGGGCTAGTACAAGAGCATTTGTTAATGCTACTTTTAGCTTCTCAAAGGATTCAGTAGCTTTGGGTGACCATTTGAAGCTATCTTTGTGTAGAAGATCAGTTAATGGCTTGCAGATTATCCCAAATCCTTGAATAAACCTTCTGTAATACCCGGCTAATCCCAAATATTCCCTTAGTTGCTTAATAGTTGTTGGTATAGGCCACTACTTCACAGCTTCTATCTTCTGTGGATCAGTAGACACACCTTCTTCAGTGATGAAATGGCCTAGGTACTCTATCCTTTTAACCCCAAAGAAACACTTGCTTCGTTTAGCATACAATTGATTCTTCTCCATTTCTTGAAAGACAGCCCTTAAATGCCATAAATGATCCTCTAAGGATCTGCTATAGATCAGAATATCATCACAAAAAAAAAAACACATACTTCCTGAGGAAAGTATGAACACAGAATTCATCAAGCCTTGGAATGTAGCAGGAGCATTTGACAATCCAAAGGGCATGACTAGATATTCATAATGGCCTGAGTGTATTCTAAAGGCAGTCTTAGGTATGTCTTCATTAGCCATCCTTAGTTGATGATAGCCCAACCTTAGATCAATTTTAGAGAAGACTTTAGATCCCCCTAATTCATCTAGTAAGTCCTCTACAATAGGTATAGGAAATTTATTCTTTACTGTGGCCTTATTCAAATCCCTATAGTCAACACATAGTTTCCAAGTCCCATCTTTCTTCCCTACCAATACCACAGATGCAGCAAAGGGGCTGCTGCTAGGTTGAATAATTCCCTGATCTGCATTTGTTTAACTAGAGTTTCAATCACATCCTTCTTAACTGATAGATATATGTAGGGTCTCTTATTGATTGGTTCAGTACTATTTTGTAAAATGATTCTATGGTCAAATACACCTCTAGATGGGGGCAGTTGAGTAGGTTCATCAAAGATTGTTTTGAACTCATCTAGTAAAGCCAATAACTTAGGATCAAGTTCAGTCATTTCTTTAGCTTCTAGAGAATACCATTGTACTTCATTACACATGGTTGATACTAACTGAATCATGCAAAGTTCTGAGTGATTACCTATGATTTTGGCTAACTTCCTAGCTCTAGGATTCAATATCTGTCTACCAGCTCCTCTCAGAACATGCCTCTTTCCTTTATAGATGAATTCCATAGTCAACTTTCTGAAATTCATCTTCATATCCCCCAATGTTAGTAGCCATTGTACCCCCAGTACTACTCCACAAGACCCCAGTGGTAGGATCAGGAACTCAGCTACAAATTCTGCACCCTGTAGTAGCCAAGAAATCCTGCAAACCTTGTCCACCTTCATCACACCATTAGCTGCAGCCACTACTTGAGGTGAAATCTGTGTAATGGGGCATCCTAGGTGCTCCACTACTGCTGGATCAATGAAATTGTGAGAACTTCATGTGTCAACCAAGATATGCAATAGTTTCTTGGAGTGATAGCCAGTCACCTTGAAGGTCCTATACCCCAATGATCCATTGAGTGCATGAATAGAAATTTTCATTTGTTCTCTTATCTGTTCTGAGTTATGGATCTGCAATGCCAGTTCATCTTGTGTTCCCTCCAGTTGTGATTGCTCCACTTCTTCTTGCTCCTCAAGTTCCAGCAAATACAGCTGCTTAGCATTCTTGCATTTATGTCCAATAATGTACCTTTCATCACAGAAGAAGCACAAACCTTGTGCTCTCTTCTCATTCATTTCTTCTGGACTCAATCTCCACCTATGAACCTTACTAGTGCTAGGATTATGAAGGATTAGTTTGTCATAACCCTTCGACTCCATGTACTTCTTTGGCGGATTAATATAAGTGGATTGACCTGTAGTTTGTCTGATTGCTGAGAGATATGCCTCCTGCATTCTAGCAGTTTTTTTATACTTGTGATAGAGTAGTAGAGTTGCTGATTTTGACTGCAATATTCAGCTCAGGTTTGAGCCCCCCAATGAAGCAACTGATAGCATTCTCCTATGATAATTTCACCCTAGTCAAATTCCTTTCAAAGACAGCTTGATACTCTTTCACACTCCTCAACCGTTTGATCTTTTTGATTTCCTCCATAGGATCATCAAAATCAGTACCTGTAATGACCT